CCAAGTCTCTTTCTTCTGTAACGCTAGCCAGTGTAGCACTGCTGAACCTATAAGGATGCTGCAGGTGTTCCCTCCCAAGGTGGAGAACCTTGCATTTTTCATTGTTAAACACCATCAGGTTCTCGTCCACCCGTTTGCTGAGCCTGTCCAGGTCAGCCTGGATCACTTGCCTGTCTTCTGGCATGGATGCTCTGCCCCAAAGTTTGGTGTTATCGGCGAACTTGACCAGTCCGCTTCTGACTCCAATGTCCACATCATTAATGAAGACGTTGAACAATATGGGTCCAAGGACAGAGCCTTGGTGGACCCCACTGGTCACAGGACACCATGATGTTTGACTTTCATCAATTACTACCCTCTGGGTCCGACCACAGAGCCAATTTCCCAGCCAGCGGATAATGGTGGACCCAAGGCCACAATTGGCCAGTTTTGCCAAGAGGTGATCATGGGATACCAGATCAAAGGCTTTTTTGAAGTCAAGATATATGACAATCTCTTCTCCCTTGTCCAGGTGATAGGCCAACTGGTCATAGAAGGAAATGAGATTGGTCAAGCAAGACCTACCCGCAACAAACCTATGCTGGCTATCCCTCGGTGTGTGGGCGTCAGTCAGTCCATTAAGGATGGCCTCTTTAATAAACTTTTCTAAGATCTTCCCCAGAATAGAAGTCAGGCTGATGGGCTTATAGTTAGCCGGATCCACTTTCCTCCTTTTCTTGAAGATAGGTACCACATTGGCCTTCTTCCAATCTTCGAGCGCTACACCAGAGCGCCAGTTTTCAAAGATCTGCCTGATTCCTTCTAAATCCTTTAATTCCATAGGTGTTAAACGAGACTCTCTAGTTTTTAACTTTTTAGTCTTGATGTTCCATTAATCAAGTTATCTTTTCTTCTGCAAATCTGTCTGTTAGCAGCTCCTAGTAATGTAACTCCTATTCCACAACCCTGCAAACTGTTTTTAACTCTAGCTGTTCTACAACAAAGAGCACAAAAGGAAGACAGCCATGATTTTAAAGTCACAGATGTAGTACATACCTTCCACATAAGATGCACACATCTATTTCCAGATGACTGGGAAGATTCAATTACCCTCCACAAATCTACTTTTCTTGAAGGAGCTAATACAATGAACAATAAGAAGCAGAAAACTTACGGTTATTCTTTAAAATGGTAAAGTTGAAAAAACATTTTGAAATGCTTTCAAAATAATGTCTGAAAGCAACTATTCTAAATTTAAAGACTTCCCTTATAATCCCTTTTATTTCTAATGCTATGCCTTTTTTCATCTTCCCTTACAGTTGAAACTACCTCTTCTCTTCCTATGCACCAAGCAACTCTCCTATCCTCCTCTGCCTTCACATTTTATTTTGTTTGCTTAGTTTTCCAGCAATAATTTTTTCACTTAAGAACCATTTCCTCCCTCCCTTTGGCCTATTTCTCAATTCCTGTTTTACAGTATCAGATTTACTTAGATTATGAGAACTTGAAGACAGAGATCATATTTTCCAACATAAAACTACTAGATATGTACATAACACTAAATAAAATTACAGCAACTTGCCATATCTTGTTTATTCTAGACTTCCATATATTTATGAGGAAAACTCAAGAAAAAAAAAAATACAGAACTTGCATAATCTCTAATATCCTAATTAAATTAGGTATTTTATGGCATATAAAGAGGGGGTTGATAAACCCTTCCAACATGATTTAAAATATAAATATATCTTTTTAATATTCCTAAACATGTAAAATCACTTTTAGAGTTTCCCTGTATTCTAGCCATTTACTCTTGATCACTCATTATTTTAGGTGTCTTCATGACTTTCTCTAGATTTCTTTATCTCCTTTTCCACAGACTGTTTTACTGCTTGAATTTACTCTCCGGAATTATAAGGGCCTTTTTCTTTTTTTTGCCTGATTTATTTAATTTTCCAAATTTCTAATTTTATTTCATGTTACTATACCAGCTTGATACACTGTACTCCTACTTCCACAATAATTTGGAGTAAGGCTGTTTTCCTTATTCAGTCCTGTCTAACCTCATTCAGTTTTTCCCTCCACTCCTCTTGCTTCTCCAGTCTCTCTGGTCATCCACCTCTCTCTTTTAAGCTCTGTTTTGTTTCTTTTAAATAGCCCATCATTTTCTCCTCCATTCATTTTCCTCACGGCCAGGTCTCCCTACCTATTTCAGTCTTCCCTCCTCCTGCCAAGTTTAACTGAATATATTTGTTCTCATAAGTTCAAAGACAAATCCTTGAGTCAACAGATTGACAAATATGCTGAAAATAGAAATAGGTTGCTGTTGTTAAATCTGCTCCAAAAATATCCCCAATTTAATCCTGGGGAAAAAAATATGATATAAATGATTTGCCTGCCTTTTTCTTCTGTTCTTCCTGTTCTCTCTTCACTCCATTCGCTCCAGAATTTTGCTAATGCACCTTTACATTGAATGGCAATAGCATACTCAGTAAAATCCTGTAGGCCCGTTAGATTATATGATTTTACGGTCTCAGTATGGTTTGTGCAGTCAGTAACATTTCCCTACAAGTGAACACAGGGACAAAAATACTTTGATTTTAAAAAAAACCCCAAAACAGTATATATTTATCTAAAAAACAGAGCAGTCACTACCCAAAACCTGTATCTAAAAGTGGGAGCATGTGGCTCTCTCATATTCCCACCTTAATCCTCTACTAAAGAAAAAAAATTATTTACCTTGTAATTCTACTTCTGTGTAGCATTTTAGTATCTAGCTTTTAGTAATTTCCCCACAAGGCTGGTATTAGCTCTTTTTTTAATGTAAAAGTAGCAACAGCGAAGAAGAGCATGAGCGAGGCTTTCCATTGGACATTGCCACTCCATCCTCCTCAAGTATCTCTGCAGCCCTACAAATATTTTAGTCAACTCCAACTGCATGGGAGCTAAAGCTCCAAGAAATTAAAACAATCCAAAAAATGATAAATGTATGAACAAACTAGAAGTGTCAATGGAAGAAAAAAACCTGAAAAAAGTCCTAAGAAACAATCCTTTTAAAAAGTTAGCCTCTAAGTTCTCATGGGAGACAGGTGTATGAGAAATATGGAATGCAGGACCTTCCAAGAAAAATGACAAGGTCTGTCATTTTCACTTTTCTCAAGAGGTCAATTGTATAGAAGAGTCTCACACCTATAACCTGAGGAGCTCCAAAACAAAACTGCATGCATTTCCAAGTAAGTCTAAAGCTGTACTCCTACACCATATGAACTGGATGAGAACCATAACAGAAAGTTGAGAACCATATTTGCTTAAGCTAATATGGTCCTAAATCACTGAACTTTTGTCTTTTCTAAGCATTGCCAACAATTTCATTTCCAGAAGGATTCATGAAGAGACTTACAGTATACAGGAATTTCCTTCTCCAATAAATGGACATAACATCATTTAGTGGCATAAGCATGAGATTGATAGCTTCTTATTCACACAGGTGGCAAATAGGTCTAGTATGTACTTCTACAACAAATGTAACATATCCTAATGCTTCGGACTTGTACCTTATATATGACAAAAGGGACTAAGTAAAAATAATGAAACAGAGACAAGAACTTTTTAAACATCTCATTATCCTCTTAAGTCTTCTGTTTTTCAAGTTAATGCTTGAGGGCTCAAACACTGAAGAATAGTAGATGGACATTTGCTAGGCACTGCATATTAATAGGAGACTATCTGCAAATAACAGGCCTCAGAGGGTGCATCCAGAGAAGCGCGCACGTGCCTCTTGCTGCATCCCAAACCAGTTTGAGATGCTGCAAGAGAAACACTGTGAACAAAAAAAAATGTTCCCCACACTGCATATTTACAGCACGGGCTCAACATTTGATACCTGGATATCCAGGTATCAAAAAAACACAGGGAAAGAAAGCAGGGCAGGGCACAGTCCTATGCCCTGATGTAACCCAGAAGCTGGTCCTCTGGAGAAATGCTCTGATTTCTGGCCAGAGTTCCTCTATGTGCTTTTGCTGCCCCCGCATGTGGGGCATATACCCTTAGCATGCTGGGGCAAGCAGAAACACAGCAAGGATTTGGCATGACACCAGCAGTTGGGGGTAAGTAGGGAGTGTGGGGGGATGTGGGGGAGGGGACTGTGCTTGTGGGGGGGGAACTGTGGGGGGGGCTGGTCGGGGGCATGGGTCAGCAGCAGCAGCAGCCGTGGGGCACTCAGGGCCCACTG